AAAATTACAACAGCACCAAAAAAGACAAAAATACCTAGAAATGAACTTAATCACAAACGTTTCTACCCTGAAAACTATAAAACACTGATGAAAGAAATTCAAAAAAGCATAACTAATGGAGAGATAGAACATGCTAATGGTGGAGAAGTATTAATAATTTTAAAATTCCACACTACAAAAAGCAACTACATATTTAATGCAATCCCTATCAAAATTGCAATAGTACTTTTCAAAGAACTGGAATAAATAATTTACAAATGTGTATAGAAATTGCAAAACACTCTGGAGAGCTAAAGCAATCTTAAGAAAAAGCTGGAGGTAACACAATCACTGATTTCAAAATGTATGACAAATATATAGCCATCAAAAGAATATGGTACAGGAATAAAAACAGACATATAGAACAATGGAACAGAATAGGAAGCACAGAAATAAACCCCTCACTATATGATCAGTCTACAACAAAGGAGGCATACATAGACAATGGGAAAAAGACAGTCTCTTCAATAAATGGGGCAAGGAAGACAAGACAGCTATATGCACAAGAATTAAATGGAACCATTGTTTGTATCATAAACAAAAATAGGCAAAAATGGATTAAAAACCTAAATATGAGACCTGAAGTCACTAAACTCCTAAAAGAGGGGCACCTGGATGGCTCAGTCAGTTAAGTATCCAACTTCAGCTCAGGTCATTATCTCATGGTTTGAGCCCCACGTCAGGTTCTGTGCAGACAGCTTGGGGCCTGGAGCCTGCTTTGGATTCTGTCACTCCTCTCTCTCTGTCCCTCCACTGCTCACACTCTGTCTCTCTCTCAACAATAAACAAACATTAAAAAAAAAAAAACCCTAAAAGAAAACATAGTAGTCCCATGGACATTGGCCTTAGCAACATTTTTCTAGATATGTCTCTTCAAGCAGAAGAAACAAAAGAAAAAAACCTATTGAGAGTATGCTTAAAAAAAAAAAAAACTTTTATATAGCAAATGAAACCATCAACAATACAAAAGACAACATACTAAAAGTCAAAACTGTTAGTAAATGATGTATCAGAGAAGCTTAATATTCAAAATCTGTAAAGAAATTATCCTACTCTGGATGGATAAAGAAGATGTGGTATACACACACACACACACACACACACACACACACACACAATGGAGTATTACTCAGCAATTAAAAAGATTGAAATCTTGCCATTTACAACTACATAGATGGAACTGGAGGGTATTAATGCTAAGTGAAATTAGAGAAAGACAAATATATGAATTCACTCATATGAGGAATTTAAGATACAAAATGATGAACATTTTGGGAAGGGAAGCAAAAATAATATAAAAACAGGGAGGGGGACAAAACATAAAAGACTCTTAAATATGGAGAACAAACAGAGGGATGCTGGAGGGGTTGTGGGAGGGGAGATGGTCTAAATGGGTAAGGGGCATTAAGGAATCTACTCCTGAAATCATTGTTGCACCATATGCTAACTTGGATGTAAATTAAACAAATTTTTTAAAATTTAAAAAAATAAAAGCATGATTAAAAAGAAATTATTCAACTCCACACAAAAAACGCTGCAATTAAAAAATGGAAGACTAGAATAGGCATTTTTCCAAAGAACTCATCCAACTGGCCACCAGCAGCATGCAAAGATGCTCAACATCATTAATCATCAAGGGAATGCAAAATGAAACAAAAAATCAGGTATAATCACACACCAGTCACATTAGCTAGAATTAAAAAAGTAAGTGCTGGCCAGGATGTGGAGAAAAAGGAAGCACTGTGCATATTTAATAGGAATATAAATTATGAAACACTGTGGAAAATGTATGATGGTTCCCCAAAACAAATACAGAAGCATGTGATTTAGTAACTCCACTACTAGGTATTTACACAAAGAAAACGAAAACACACATTCAAAAAAATTCAATAAACAGGTCTGTTTATTGCCGCATTGTTTACAATAGCCAACATATGGAAGCTACGTAAATGTCCATCCATAAATGATTGAATAAGGAAGGTGTTTCTGTGTGTGTGTGTGTATGTGTATATGTATCTCACATGTGATACACACACACACACACAGAAATGTAACTCAGCCATAAAAGAGTGAAAATGTCCCATTTGTGACAACATGGATAGAACTACAGGGTATTATGCTAAGTTAAATAAATCAAAGATGAATACCATGTGATTTTTCTTATATGTGGAATCTCCAAATCACAACAAATAGACAAACAAACAGAAGGAAATCCATAAACACAAAGAACAAACTGGTGGTGGACTGAGATGAGGAGAGTGAGAAGGGAACAATAGGTGAAAAAAATGTGAGGTAAAAACTTCCATTATGATATAAGAAGTCATGAAAACTAAAGTGTAGCATAGGTCATATAGTCACTAGCATTGAAATAGTATTCTATGAGGACAGATTAAAGATGCACTTGTGAGCATTGTAAAATGTCAAGAGCTATCACATCACTATGTTGTTTACGTGATTCTAATTTAACATTAATATTAACCAAAGGTTTATTATTTTTGAGAGAGAGAGAGGGAGACAGAGTGTGGGGGGCGGTGGGGCAGAAAGAGAGAGAGACACAAAATCCAAAGCAGGCTCTAGGCTCCAAGTGGTCAGCATAGAGCCTGACACGGGGCTTGAACTCATGAACCATGAGATCATGACCTGAGCCGAAGTCAACTGACTGAACCGTGCCTCAAGATTAATAACTTTTAAATCAATACATAACATAGAAACCAAAGGACAACTTCCAAATTCACTCTAGAGATGAATATCACTTTGATCAAAATTAGACCAAAATCTTGTCTACAAAGACAAAAACCCCCACAAAGTTACTGAAATTTCTGTAGTACAGAAATAGAAAACTTGAGACCAATATCTCAGGTGAACATAGATGGAAAAAGCCTCACCAAAACAAACTCAACATACATTAAAGGAACCATTAAAAAGAAGAAGTGGGAGGGGGCACCTGGGTCCCTCAGTTGGTTAAGCATCTGACTTTGGCTTAGGTCTTGATCTCATGGTTCCTGGGTTCGAGCCCTGGGTTTGGCTCTGTGCTCACAGCTCAGAGCCTGGAGCTTGTTTGGATTCTGTGTCTCCCTCTCTCTGCCCCTCCCCTGCTCACACTATCTCTCTCTCTCTCTCTCTCTCTCTCTCTCTCTCTCTCTCTCTCAAAAATAAAGAAACATTAAAAAAATTAGGGGAAAAAAAGAACAAGGGGGATTTATTAAAGAGATGCAAAGAGAGTACAATATTGCAAATCATTCAATGTGATACAAAACATAAAAGGGGAAGGATAAAATGCACAGGATCACTATAATCAGTGCAAAAAGAAGTTTAATAAAATTTAACATTTGTTTATGATAAAAACTCTAAACAAAGTTTGGGAGTAAAACACCCCACCACACTGAAAAAAACATGACAAAACCACATGTGATATTGCTCTCAATAGAAAAGAACTGAAATAATCAGAAATAGACAAAGATGTTCATACTCCTCAATATTTTCTTAACAAATGTCTAGAAATTCTGGCAATGGCAATAAGACAAGAAAAAGAAAAGACATAGAAAGTGAAAGTGAGGGGCGCCTGGGTGGCTCAGTCGGTTAAGCGGCGGACTTCGGCTCAGGTCATGATCTCGCGGTCCGTGAGTTCGAGGCCCACGTCGGGCTCTGTGCGGGCTCTGTGCTGACAGCGCAGAGCCTCGAGCCTGTTTCGGATTCTGTGTCTCCCTCCCTCTGACCCTCCCTCGCTCATGCTCTGTCTCTCTCTGTCTCAAAAATAAATAAACGTTAAAAAAAATTAAAAAAAAAAAGAAAGTGAAAGTGAAAAGAGTCACATTAAAAAGATGTGATATCATATACAGAAAATCTGAAGATTTCACCAAAGAACTCTTTAAACGGATTCATGAATTCAGTAAAAATTAATATACACAAATTCATTGCATTTCCACAGAAGAATAAGGAGGTAGGAAAAAGAAAGGAAACAATCCATTTACATTAGAACCAAAAAGAAAAAGAAAAACCACCAAAAAGGGCAGAAACATAACCAAGAAAGTGAAAGACCTCGACTTTGAAAATCATAAAACACAGATGAAACAAATTAAAGATAGCACGAATCAGTGTAGAGAGACAGGACACCCACAGTGTAGAAAAATCAATTGTGTCAAAATTTCCACCCTACCCAAAACAATTGACAGATTGAATGTGATCCCTATCAAAAGGACAACTGTGTTTTCCATAGAACTAGAATAAATAATCCTAAAATGAGCATGAAATCACCAAAGACCCCAAAGAGCCCAAAGTAATGTTGAGGAGGAAGAACAGAACGGAAGTTCTCACAGTCCCTGATTTCATGATATGCTAAAAAGCTGTATGTAACCAAAAGAGTATGGTTCTGGCACAAATGAGAGGACACATGGATACATGGAACCACGTAAAGAGCCCAGAAATAAACCCACCATTATATGGTCCATTAGTCTAGGAAAAAATTGGCAAAAATAGACAAAGGGGAAAAGACCACATGTTCAATATGTAGTGCTGGGGCAACTGGATACCTGTGTGCAAAATAAGGACAGTTATACCATGTGCAAGAACAAACCCAAAGTGGAAGAGAAACCCAAAGGTGACCCATGAAACCATCAAACTCACTCAAATAGCCATAGATAGTAATCTCTTGTATATTGGCTGAAGCAATAGTTTTCTAAATAGGTCTCACCAGGCAAGAGAACCCAAAGCAAACATAAACTATGGAGAGCACACTGGCATGAAAAGCTTTTGCCCAGCAAAGGAAAACATCAGTGAAGTGAAAGGAACCCTGCTGAATGGCCCAAGTGGTTTGTAACTGATATACCATAGGGGGTTAATATCTGAAATAACCACATACTTGTAAACCACACACACACACACACACACACACACACACACACACACACACACCCCTCCACATACTTTTGTGAATAACTGGATATAGTATTTTTTCCTCAAAGAAGAGATTTGGCTAGCCAACTGACCTAGGAAGAGATGCTCGACATCAGATATCATTAAGAAGACCCACAAGGAAACCCCATGAGGTACTACCTCACACCAAGCACACTGGATTTGATCCACCAATGATATCCACCAAAGGGAACCCTTGTTATCTCCTGGTAGGTAAGTAAATTGGTGCAACTGCTATGAAAAACACTATGTTGACTGCACAAACTAAAGAAGGATCCAGTGATTCCACTCCTGAGTATTTAGTCATAGGAATGGAAAATACTACTTCAAGAAGATATATGTACTCCTAAGTTTATTGCCACTTTATATTCTTTTGCAATATCCAAGACATGGAAGTATTTAAGGGTCCATCAATAGAGGAATAGATAGATTGGTGTGTGTGTGTATGTAAATATGCATATATATTTACAAAGGAATATATGTGTATACATGTGTGTATATATATAATATATATATATTATATTTATATACACAAAAGAATATTACTTTGCCATGAAAGAGATTGAGATTGATTGTCAACAGGCTATTCTGCTAAGTGAAGTAAGTCTGACAGTGGAATATTAATACCATGTGATTTCACTTACATGTTACTCTACATAAGAAAAAAAAATTTTAGGGGCGCCTGGGTGGCGCAGTCGGTTAAGCGTCCGACTTCGGCCAGGTCACGATCTCGCGGTCCGTGAGTTCGAGCCCCGCGTCGGGCTCTGGCCTGATGGCTCAGAGCCTGGAGCCTGTTTCTGATTCTGTGTCTCCCTCTCTCTCTGCCCCTCCCCGTTCATGCTCTGTCTCTCTCTGTCCCAAAAATAAATAAACGTTGAAAAAAAAAATTTAAAAATAAAAAAAAAAAGAAAAAAAAATTTTACAGAGTCCTTGAAAGTAGGAGCAAAGCCAGACTTATTGCCAGTCTTCAGCTTTTCTTAATTTTATTTCTTGCCTTTTAGCATTTACCTGAATAACCTACATACTTTGAACTTAGAGATCAGGTCAGAGTGGTCTATACAGATTTTTGGAAAGGGAAATTAAAATAGGTGAATGGGGCCAGATTTTGAGAAGGGGAATTTACACTGGATATGAATATTAATTTTTGTTTTCAGTCTAATTTTTGTTTTTTCGTCTTCTCAACAGAGTCCCAAAAGCTAGTTAGCTATTATACTAGTAAGTCAATAGAGAACTTTCTATAAAGTAATTTTTTTCTTGCAAATATAGCCAGTGTAAAGGATCCATCATCTGGCAATGATGAGTAGGATCTTACTAATTTCAATAGTGACTCAATCCAATAAGCACTTTTATGGGAAGACATACAGGCAACTTTCCAGGCTTAAACCATAGACACAAGAAGCATCCTTGGTGAGAGCATAGATGATGCCTCCCCTATGGTCCAAAATTTTACTCCCAAAATAGTCTAAGACAGCACAGGCCTTCACTGCACAGGCAGTAAACATGATGTAGAGAAAACAGCATGTCCAGTCTCCTGCAAAAAAATGTGAGACATCTCTAGTCACAGACCCACTAATCTGTGACATGGGGCAGGCACTACTGTAATGAGACTTTTCTAGCACTAATGGCGGTTACGAAGACAAGGGTCCCTTATGGGCTGGGACCTCTTATAACATAGAACTCCCGATTGCTGGCAAGGCCAGACAATGAGAGTACTGCTTGTAACTGTGTGTCTCAGAACCTCATTCTACTTGACAGGCCACCACAGTACCCTCTGGTAATTCAATCTTGTGGATGGTGGAGACCAGAGAGAATATTCTCACTGGTCACAAAGCCAAGCTCTGAGGACATAAAACAAAACAAAAGGAAAAACCTCATCCGGCTTTTACATAGACGACCCGCAGCAAAGTTTGTCTAAACAGATACAGATGTGATGGTAACTGTGACCTCACCAGTCTGTGAGGCCAACTCGAACAACAGGCTGACCGGGACTATGTCTGTGTGCTCTGCTATGGTAATTCATTTTGATGACAAATGACACAAAATACAATGATAAAGAAAAGCTGTGGTCATCTCTGGGTGGAAATCGATGTGCCAAGCCAAGAGAACTCTACCAAATGCACCAGAGCCATTAGAGCCAAGGCACTAGTTCCACAAATATTTTCTCCTGCTAACCTAGATTTAGGAAGAGAGAGAAAAAGGACTCACATCACTTTCACTTGCACGAGACCTGGCAGGCAGAGATCCAGTTGGCTGATGTGGTGATGAGGATTCTTCCCTCGTGCCAGCTTTTGTCAGATGTCCCATAATCTCTCAGCCGCAGCAGTGTCCAGCCAGCTAAAGTTTATCCTGCTGGCTATGCCAACTGTTGAGGAGGAAGAACGATTCTCTACCTTCAAGGTTCTTCTAGGTGATCTAAGAATTAAATTGACAAGAGACAGATTAACAGGAGGAAACAGATTAACAGAGGCCCAATATTAAAATTGAGATGAAATAACCAAGGCAGGCAGCTTCTATGCTTTAAATTTTTTTTTAACATTTATTTTTCAGAGAGACAAAACATGAGTGGGGAAGGGGAAGAGAGGGAGAGGCACACACGGAATCCAAAGCAGGCCCAGTCTCTGAGCTGTTAGCACAGAGTCCAACGCAGGGCATGCTTAGCTGACTGAGCCACCCAGGTGCCCCTATGCTTATTTTAGACCTAGAAAGGATACATCTGTGAGGAACTGACAGTACAAAGAAGTTATGTTTGCAAGCTTTAATTAGTAAGGAATTCGAAACAGAATTTGGCCTGGGATAGTGAAATTAGTAAAAGTGACAAGGTTTATTTATGTAGCCTTCTTAGATTTGAATTCCAGATCTCTGGTGATTTTGAGGTCTTTTTACCACCTGGTTAAGGGGAGGTAAATTTTGCATGGGAGATTTATTTTTTGTTTTGTGGAGACAAAGAGAGTCAGGGTGTTATCCTTGCACTGACTGTTTGAGAAGAAACTTTAATTCAAAATAATCAATATGTAGGCCGTCTGGGTGACTCAGTCGGTTAAGCATCTGACTTTGGCTCAGGTCACAATCTCGCGGTTTGTGAGTTCAAGCTCCGCATCGGGCTCTGTGCTGATAGCTCAGAGCCTGGAGCCTACTTCAGATTCTGTGTCTCCCTCTCTCTCTGCCCCTCCCCTGCCCTCACTCTATCTCTATCAAAAATAAACATTAAAAATTAAAAAAATAATCAATATGCTGAAGTGGCACATTTTGGGGTAGACTGCCTTGGACTGCACATGCCCACTTGTGTAGGTTAGGTCTTAGATTTAGGCAGGTGCCTTGGAGCTCCAAGAGCCCACACCCATGGCCCAGCCTCTCCCAATGCTTGCCCTGTTCCAAGTTCGTGGGTACCTGACTTGCATGTTCTGCACATGCTCAGTATGTATCCTATCAGCTGGTCTTGGAAGTCAGTACCCTGCAGTCCTGTGCAATTTGGCCCAGTCACCAACCTTTTATAGTCTCCTGGGTGGGGGGGGGGGGGAATCCCAAAATACTTCTGCATCAGCTGCTTTGAACAGGATAGTCCACATTTGGACAGGCTGCCTGATGGAGTACTGAGTTTTTCCAGCAGTCTTCCAAAGGTCTCTTACTGGAAGACTATAGGCCTGTCTGCCTGGCCACAGCCTGGCATGGCCATCTAGAGTCCTTCAGCTTTGCCTTCAGGGAGAATGTGTTCATTTCTGTAGGTTACTGCTTGGGATTAGGCAGATGGAAGATACCCCCAATATCCCTCTCCTGTGACATGGCCTCACCCAACCCTGCCCTTTCTAGGTCCTTGACTACTCTGACCTGTGGACCTGTACATGTGCAGTCTGTACTTTGTCAGCCAGCCCTTGGCTGTTTGGGACCCAAGCCATTTTCAACTACCTTTCTATCAGGGCAGAAGGAGCCCACCCCCAAAAATCTGAGATAGCAGCTTTAAACTGGTGACAATCTGTTCCTGTTTAGACTGGCTGCCTAATGGGGTCCTGGGCTTACCAGTAATCAAATCTCCCAAATGTCTCTTACTGGAACATACCCTGGTCAATTGGCAAGTAAATGCAGATTCCTCCAGCTTTGCTTTAAAAGAAAGAAGTGTGTCTATGGAGGTTAGGGCTTGAAATTAGGCAGAATCCACAGGCTCCCAACATTATGCTCTTGATACCAGTGATCTCCTGACACTTGCTAAGGTCCAGATTCCCAGTGACCCTGGACTGTGCTGTCAAAGCACCTGGAATCGGAAGCCCTTCAGCCAGCCTCAAGAAGTCAGGGCTCACCAGGCTAGTGTAGCTGGAATTTGACCCCAAATACCCACAAAAGTTTAATATAGAAGGTACCACCCCCAAGCATCACCCTGGGGCAATAGCTACAAACTGGAGACTGTCCATTTCCATTTGGACTTGCTGCCTATAGGATTCCAGAGCTTTTCCAGAAAACAGGGCTCCCAGGAGTGTCTTATTTTAGAGGATACCTTGGGCAGCCCTTCCTGCCCTGCCTTGCCAAGCCTGTCCAGTAACCCTGAGCTCTGCGTTCAGAGGGGTTATTGCCCATTGGGTCAGTTAGGGCTTATGGAGACTCATAAATCTTTTCCCTGTAAAAATGAGTAAAGGAAACCTCATTTATAATGGAGTCAAGAAGCCCTGAAAGAGGGAGCTCTCGTGTACATACCACTCCTGCAGCCTGCTTAACCAGCGGAAAGAAAGAAGACTTATCTTGTATCTTGACAAGGTAAGACACCTTCACAGGAATTTTATCTCTTGCTTTTAAGAAAAAGAAGGAAGAGCTGGTTCAGCCCCAGCAACAAGAACTATTGCTTGCAGCCAATGAGAAATTGTCACTTCAAGCTCTTATTATTCAATGAGCTTTTGTTCCAAACAACCCTCCCCAATTTTCTTCTAAAGCTTAGTAAAAACTGACCTTCCTTTGGTCTCTTCACACTCACCATTGGTTTGCCATAGTTTGCTTGTCCCAAATTGCAATTCCTCTGCTATTCCTGAATCAACTCATTTTGCTAATAAAATAACTGGCTGTTTTAAGGTGGACATTTAATGCTGTCAGACAAGCAGATCCAGAGAAGACCCCCAACAACTCTGAGGTTGGTGAACAAACAGGTGCAAATACCCACAAAGTCAACTGAACTCATTGCTTTCTTGCTGACCCTGGAGTTCTGAGGTTGAGTCTCTTTTAGACTTGGAGCTCTGCTCTGTTTTCATTTTGACTTCTCTAGCTTTATTTGAAATCTGTTTTTGTTTTTATGAAGGCATCACCCTTCCTGGTGCAGGCTTTTTTGTTTCTCTTTTTTGAAGCTTCCAGGTCAGTCACTCATTGTATCCAAAAGGGAGGAAAACACATGATTCACAATGTTTTAGAACAGTTGTTTAAAAATAAGACCTCTCATACTTAAGATTCCTTT